ATTCTTTCTTGTCAGTTTTGGTGGAATACTTATTGGAATTGTTGGTGCTGCACTTACTGGCTTAGCTACTAAGTAATCATTCATTAAAAATAAATAAATAAACAAATAAACAACACAACATAAAATAAGATAAATAAAAATTTGTTCTTTGTTAATGTACTTATTGTTTAGCTACTAAGTAATCATTCACTAAAAATAAATAAATAAACAAATAAACAACATAAAATAAGATAAATAAAAATTTGTTCTTTGTTAATGTACCTATTGTTTAGCTACTAAGTAATCATTCATTAAAAATAAATAAATAAACAATTAAACAACACAACATAAAATAAGATAAATAAAAATTTGTTCTTTGTTAATGTACCTATTGTTTAACTACTAAGTAATCATTCATTAAAAATAAATAAATAAACAAATAAACAACATAAAATAAGATAAATAAAAGTTTGTTCTTTGTTAATGTACCTACTGTTTAGCTACTAAGTAATCATTCATTAAAAATAAATAAATAAACAAATAAACAGCACAACATAAAATAAGATAAATAAAAATTTGTTCTTTGTTAATGTACTTATTGTTTAGCTACTAAGTAATCATTCACTAAAAATAAATAAATAAACAAATAAACAACATAAAATAAGATAAATAAAAATTTGTTCTTTGTTAATGCTGTACCTATTGTTTAGCTACTACGTAATCATTTATAAACAAATAAACAACATAGAATAAGATAAATGAAAATTTGTTCTTTGTTGATGCTGTACCTATTGTTTAGCTACTAAGTAATCATTCATTAAAAATAAATAAATAAACAACACAACATAAAATAAGATAAATAAAAATTTATTTTTTGCTTCTGTTTCAAATTTTCTTTCAATTATATTTGTTAATTAATTCGTATTAAAATTTACAAATTCAGTGAAATAAAACAAGAAAAATAAAATGAGAAAATTATTTGTTTACTTTTATTATTTATTTTTGTTTACTATAGAATTTATTGATTTTAGTTATTTATTTATTTTCTCTTTTTTTTTTTTAATGTAATAAATTGTAACACAAATCTTTTAGATGAAATATATAAGTAAATGTAACTGTTATGATAAAATTAAATAATTTGAATTATTATTTAAGCATTTTAATTTTATTAAATAAATGTAATCGAATTTAATGAATGTTTTATTCTAATCAATATCAATTTAATAATTTTTAAACATAATGAATATTTAAATTGTAAACAAATGTTTTGCCAATCCTTTTTTTTTGTTTCTTTTTTTTTTTTCATTGATCGTTTTAAAATTAATTTTTTGAAAATTTAGATATTCAAATAAACAACAAGTATTACAACCATTGATCTGTTTACTTATACCATATCTTTCATATTTGATAGCAGAAAGTGTTCATTTTTCTGGTATTCTTGCGTAAGTCATCCATTTCTTTTTTTTTTTTAAATTTAAAATTTAAATTGAAAAAATTAAAAAGATTTTATCAAATTTATATTGATTAGGGAAAATTTATAAGATAAATGTATTTCTTTTTGAAAAAAATTTCATTATTACTATTTTAAAGAATTATATGCGAAATTTTTGATTTTTTATCAAAGATAATACAAATTTTTTTCTTTTTTTTCATACTAAATGAACAGTTTTTATTTTGATAACAATCTTTTATTTTCATTATTTAATCAATTTATTATCTTATCAGTATCTTTTTTTTTTAATCCTTTCATTTGATTATTTTAATTTTTTTGAAATAATTAGTCGAAAATAAAAATTTGTAAAATTTCTTATCAAATGATACTTCATATTAGATATAACATTTTAAACACAGTTTATTATAATAAATTATTTAAAATAAAGAATGATTAGTAAAATATTTTTAAAAAATTTTTATCTCAAAATTTTAAATTTTACATTAAAAAAAGAAAAAAAAAAATTATTTGACAATTTCTATTTGTATTTTTGTTTTTTTTATTATTTTTTTTTTTAGTATTGTTCTTTGTGGTTTAATGATGAAACAATACCTTGCTGGTAATTTATCAAAAGAATCATTGGTCACTACAAGTTATTTCTTAAAAACACTTTCAACAAGGTTTTTAACTTTTTTTTTTTTTTTTTTTTGAAATACTGAAAATAAAAGAGAAATAATTAAAATATGATTTTATTTTTTAAATTTTATTACAATTACTATTTATGATCAATAATAAAGTTTATTAAAGCTATATTATGTGATAAATAAAAGACACAGAAAAATAATAATTAACTTTGCAATTTCTAGTATTAGTTATAACTACTGGTATATTTAATACAGTATATCATTGAAAAATAATAACTAACCTTCTGAATAAGTAAATTTAAAAAAAAAAAAAAAAAATAATTTTTTAATTTAATTAACATTCTAATATTAGTATGAATTTAGCTGTGAAGCGATAATATTTGTTTTCTTGGGATTGTCAACTGTATCAAAAAGACATGATTGGAATTCAGTTTTTATTGGAACAACATTACTTGCATGTTTAGTTTGTAGATTTACTGGTATGTTAATTTTGAACAAAATAAACAAACATAAACAAATAAACAAACATAAACAAATAAACAAACACAAACAATTAAACAAACACAAACAAATAAACAAACATAAACAAATAAACAAACATAAACAAATTATCGTTTTGAAAAAATAAAATTATAAAATGAATTAATATTTGCTACTTTTTTTTTGAAATTATAAATAAATAAAATTATAAGAACAATAAATAAACACAAACAAATAAGCAAACACAAACAAATAAACAAACATAAACAAATTATCTTTTTGAAAAAAAAAAAAATAAAATTATAAAATGAATTAATATTTGTTACTTTTTTTTTTTTTTTGAAATTATAAATAAATGAAATTATAGGAACATATTTTCTGACATGTTTGGCAAATAGAGGAAGACGTCAAAAAATAAATTTTGTTGATCAATTTATTATGGCGTACGGTGGTTTACGTGGCGCTATTTGTTATGGCCTAGTGATGACATTAGATAAGGATGCTGTATTGGCCAAGGAAATGTTTGCATCAACCACAATTATTGTTATTTTAACTACTGTTTTCTTACAGGTAAACATTTAATTAAGTTTAATTTTAATTATTAAATTAAATTATTTTATAATAATTTCATGTTTAAAATTAGCTATATAGCTTTTGGCATCATCTAATTGAAATAATTAATAATACTACTTTATAATTTTTTTTTTGTGTTTAATTGACATTAAAATAATTCAAATCATAAATAATTGATAAATTAATTATTTTAATTTCAAAAAAAAAAAAAATAAATTAATTAAAAAATTAGAATATATGCTATATAAAAAAAATAAAAAAAATTAAAGATGAAATTAATATTTTAAATTTTAGGGTGCAACAATTAAACCATTAGTGAAATTACTTGATGTTGAAATTGAGCCAGATAATCAGGAAACATTAGTGGAGCAAATTATCAGTGATGTAAGTTATATTATTTTTTTTTTTTTTTTTATTTATTTATTTTAATTTATGAAATCTTTTTTTTTTTTTTTAATAAATATAATTTTAATAAATAACAATAAAATTTATTATTTATGAAATATTTTTTTCAATAAATCAAAAAAGTTAAAATGAAAAAATGCAAATATTTCACATTGAAATTATTTTTATTTACATTAATTAGCATATTATAATAATTTTGTTTTCTTTTTTAAGCAATATAGTCAAGGTATATTAAAATACCTGAAATTTCTTGTAAATAATAGCTAACAAAAAAAAAAAAATAAAAATAAAAAAAAGAATTTCAGGTTCGTGATGATATTATGGAAGGTATAGAAGCTGTAGCTGGTATTCAAGGACCACAATGGGTAAATATAAATTTTAAATTTTTTGAAAAAATTAAAAATTAAATCTTGAAAATTAGTAATAAGAAAATTATTTTGTTGATTTTTTTTTGTTTTTTTTTTAATGAAAATATAAATTAACTGTGAAAAGATTTATTTATAACTTTTAAATGGTCTTTTTTTTTTTTCAAGTTTTAACAATTTTATTTAGAATTAATTTTATAAAGTTTGGCTTTTTAGTTTCGGCATAAATTATCGCATTTTAATAATGATTATATTTTACCCTGTATGGTTCGTAATCAGAGAACTCGTGCTGATGAACTTTTAACATTCTATGATAAGGAATAAAACTGATAATCGGCTATCTATTTTGTAATTTTTGGATAAATTGATAAGTGATAATGATCAGTTGTAATGTAAAAATTTATTTCATTTCAATATTGTATATAATGAAATTTGTGAAATTGCTAAAATTTATTAATGATAATTTGCAGTGTAAATATAATTTGCTCAGTCACTGTATGTATTTTAAATTGAAAATTTGAAATTTATTAAATTTGTATTTAAAAAAAAAAAAAAAAAAAAAAAAAAAGTTGCAAATTAAATTTATGCACAATTCATATAGCATATAATAACTAAGAAAATAAACAACAAAATTCAAATGCTCAAATAATTAAAAAAACTATTTGTTGCAAACATTTATGATATGATAATTCTAACTTTTAATTTTAAGTAATTTTAAGTTTCACATTTTTTACTTTCATCGAATTCATTAAAAATTCTATTTGTTCATAATTCGTAAAAAAAAAAAAAATGTAACATAATGAAATCAATTTAAAATAAATGAAAAAAAAAATTCAAATTGTTTACTGTAAAAAGAAATTTTTAATTAAAAAAAATAATTGCTGAAAGAAACAGCCATCTTTTCCTTTTTGTTTTGCTTTCTTTGATCATAAATGATAGTTGACTGATAGATAAATTGATAAATTGAAATTGAATCATAAAGGAAAAAAAAAAAAAAAAAATTTGAATCATTCCTCAGATTTATTACCATTTTTGAATCTTTCTAGAATTTAAATTTATTTTCCTTTTTTTTTTTAAATTACAAAAGTTGACTAAATAAATTCTATTTGTTATTTGCTACATTTATGGTAATCCAGCAATTGCTTCTTCAGGTAATTCCGTTTGACTTACACGAAAAAAACCTGAAAAAAAAAAAAGAAAGGAACTAAAATTCAGAAAAAAAAATTAACATTATTATAATCATTTGAAAAAAGATGCTAACATTTTTTAGTATTTATAATATATTTCTAAAAGTTAACTACTAATATTTTTACTGCTGTTATAAATGATTCTAATAAAGTTAATTTTTTTTTAAAGTTAAAAAAAAAAAAAATTTGCATAAATTGAACATACCATAATCACCCCAATTTCGTCCCCATGTATTCATATAAAGCCAATATTTAAATGTACCCTCTTTTCCCCAACCTAATAATTTAGCGCAGTGTCCATAAAGTTCTTTTGAAATTGTTGAATTAATTGTTTGATAAATTCCTGAAATATTTCTTTTCTTTTCCTTTTTTTTTTTTTTTTTTTTTTTTTCCTAAAAGTAATGTGTATTTTGACAACAAATTGAAGTTTAAATTCTCAAAAAAAAAAAAAAAAAAAAAATTAAAAAATTAAATTTTATAAGAATTATTTTTACTAATAATTCTATATTCAATAAATAAATTATTTATCATATATGAAAAATGTTTTTATGCCTAGTTGTTACTTTTGTAGTATTACCTGAATTATAATGCTGAAAATCTTCTCGTGCTATAAAACATGCAAGTATTGGACCATATAAATAAATTTCACGTTTAATTAATTCTATTGGATCATCTGAAATGACAAAAATTTAAATTAATTTTTTAAAAAAAATAAAATTAATTCACTAATATAAAAATGTTTTGAACCATACTGATTTATATATTTAATTCAATTTTTATTTAATTCATATTGTCAATATTTTTTTTTTTTTTTTTATTAATAAATTTAAATATAAATAATCATGAAAGATTCTTGACGACTGCTTTCTGTTAATTACACTTAATTGATTTAATAAATTAAAAATAGAAAAAGTAAACATAAAACAATAACAAAAAAAAAAAAAAAAAAATCAAATTTAAGACTGTAAACTAAAAATTAGTTCAAAAATTAAAATTAGTTCAAAATTTAAGAATTAAAAATTAGTACTTTAAACAATTAATTAATTTGTTAGCGATGAACAAAAAACACTTTCATTGTCTTTTCTTTCTGATATAATTCAAATCAATCAAATAAAAATCAATCAGTATTACATACTTTTTTATGATAAATTATATTAAATTCTTTTAAAAATACTTTCATTTGAAAATATCACAATTAATTTTCAACAATTTATTATTATTATTATTAATATTTTCTTATCATTACGATAAAAATATTTACAAAACAAAGTTTATATATCAACAAATATCAAATAATTCATAAATAAAAACTATGTGTTAGTTTTTTTTTTAATTAGTATTGTTTATTTTTTTTTTTTTTTTGTTTACAATTATTTCATTTTTAATATTTCCTTTGTTTTTTCTATTAATAATAATAAATTGTTGAATAATAAAAATATACCATTTCCAATTGCTTCTTGAACAATTCCATGCACATCATTGCTACCTTTTTCTGCTCGAATCCAATAAGCCTTTCGACCTAATTTTATGCAAAAAAAAAAAAATTAACTAATCAATAACTAATATGAAATTTTAACATTCGTTTTAATTTTAAAAATATTTATAATAATGGCAATTGCACCAGTTCAAAAGGAAAATACGGAAATGGAATTTCATAAATGCTTACACAATTCGTTTTAAAATTGTTACATTTTGTTAAATTTGTTAAATTGAAGTTTAAGATAACAATAATTGTAATGGTAACAGCAGTGATTATAATGATAATAATATTAATAATAATTGTAATAACGGTAACTATAATAATAATAGCAATGATAATCATAACGACAATAATAATAAAAACATTTGTCATTATTGATTTGTTATGATATTGTAACATTTCGTTAAGTTTGATAATTTGAAGTTTAAGATGGCAGTGATTGTAATGATAATAACAGTGATTATAATATTATTAACAATTGTAACAAGGTAATAATAATAATAATAATGATAATCAATAATAATAATAAGAATAGAAAATGATATACTGCTTATAAGATCCTCTTCATAGCTAAGACCATAAAGTGGTTGACAAGTTTTTTGACAAATTGGTGCTGCTTTCTTTCGATAGTGTTCAAAGGAGCATGGACTACCACAACTTGGTGCGGTAGCATATGGTTTACAACCTTCAAAGCTACCATAATCACCACCTATAATTTGATTCATACTTTTTAGTCTGTTAATAATTTATTTAAATGAAGTAATAATTAAGGCTTAAAATTGATTTTATAACTAACAAACCTGTTACAATACCATGATTTCGCCAATAGATGAATGCTGATAATGCCCAATGTGATCCTTGGCATCTTTTAAAAAATATATATATATAACATATTTATCTAATAAGAAAATGTTTTTTTTTTTTCTCAATTTACAAATATCAAAAATAAAATAAAATCAAATCAAAAAATTTTTAAATAAAATTTTAAATAAACATTACTTGTAGCCATATTAATCGAATAATATACTGATAATAATAATCAAAAATGATAATTTTTTTTTTTTTTTTTTAGTGTGAAAACTTTTTTATTATAAATGATAAGAATAAAAATGAGCCAAATAAATAAATGATAGGACAAACCCGCCACATTCTGCGCAACAAGTTATCAGATCTTCTGCAGAGATTTGTTTTTGATTGCTATAATTTGTTGCTATGCATAAACGATCAGACATTACGGATGCTGCTGATATAGCCTAAAAAAGAGGACAAAAAAAAAAAAAAAAAAATGAAACATTTCATATAATTTATAGTAATTGAATTAAATTTTTAATATTTCAAAATTTTACAGTTTAAATGATTGTTTGATAAAACTAACATTTAAATAGTTTATAGTAATTGAATTAAATTTTTAATATTTCAAAATTTTACAGTTTAAATGATTGTTTGATAAAACTAACATTTAAATAGTTTATAGTAATTGAATTAAATTTTTAATATCTCATAATTGGATGCTCAAAATTTAACAGTTTAATTGATTGATTAATTAATAGAACTAATTGATTAATAAACAAATGATTTGATAAGATAAGATAACACTAACCCAACATGATCCACATCCACCTTGATTAGCTACCTGATGAACGGACCAGCAAAGAGGCCATTGTAAACGTGCATCAAACTGTTCCGGTAAATGTAATTTTTTACTCTTCAAAAACTGAAAATAATTACAATAATATTTTTTATCATTTTGCAATTATTTTGCAAATAAAAGAATTGTTTAAAAAAAAAAAAAAAAAAAATTCAAGTATTATTGATTGCTCTGTTAAATAGTATTATAAAGTTAAAGTAATACTTCAAGTATTACTTTATAAAAAAAATATTACCTTTATATGTTCAACTGTATCACCAAGACGATATTCTTGACTTATTTTTTTCTTTTTATGAGCTAATAGAGAAATTTCTTTTGCACTTACTCCTCGTGATGCAAAACGATTATAAATTGCCTAAAATAAATTAATTAGTTTAAATGAATTATTCTTTGTTAGCTAGAAAATAAGAAATAATTATTTTTTATTTTTTAATTGAAATAAGGCAAAATGGAAATTATTATTATTATTATATATGTGAAATATATGTCATTTCTTGTTTGTTGAAAAATATATGAGCATAAATAATAATAATAATAATAATATAGCAATAACTGATAATGATAATGATAGCAATAAATAGTGATAACAAATAATAACGATATAATAATAATTGATAATGATAATGATAGCGATAATTAGTGATAACAAATAATAACGATATAATAATAATTGATAATGATAATGATAGCGATAAATAGTGATAACAAATAATAATGATATAGTAATAATTGATAATGGTAATGATAGCAATAATTAGTGACAATTAATAATGATACAGTAGTGATTAATGATGATAATGATAGCAATAAATAGTGATAACAATTAATAATGATTATTTTATTATTAACCTTCCAAGTGGTATTTAATTCATTAACATAAGTAACAATTGATAAATGATATCGCTTATCTTCTTCACTATGACCAATCCATTCTTTATCACTTCGAGAATTCGGCCAATTTCTTGCGTTAGTTGTTTCGATTATTATGCATAATACAAAGTGAAGAATTAATTAATAATTGGTAAATAAGTATTCGATTAATATTTCATATATTAATGATAAAATAAACTTAATGTTTACAAACTTATTTGTATGTATAATTAAAATATTTTCTCTTAGACCTCTTTTTTCATCTTTTATTTCAATTTTAATTAAAAATTTTTAAATAAAATAATGTTTAAATTTGAATTTAATAACTTACCAATAATTGTAGCAAGTAATAATATACCAATACCCGTTATAATATATACAGGAATTGCTGCTTTACGTTTTTCTGCTTTACAGCATTCAATTAATTTCCGTTTTTTTGTAAGTTTCACAGTACGTGGACTAATATCACTAAGTTCCAACGATATAATTACATCGTTTGAATTTCCTGCTGAAAAAAGAAAGAAAGTGAAAGGATAATATTACAAATTTTCATTTTTCACTTAAATTTTGTAAAAAAAAAAAAAAAAAAAAATTAAAAGAATTAATTCTTCTAATATAACTAAGTCTGTCGAATAATTCCGCTGATGTGACTGTACCTGTCGAATATTCTAGAGAAGAAAGGAAGGACTGATATCATTTTGCTCTACTAATACGACTATAACTCTCGAATATTCTACAGAAGAAGATTAGAGCTGATATCGTTTTGTTTTATCTGCCGAATAATCTACAAAAGATGAGAACGGCTACTATCATTGAAATCCACTGATATGACTATATCTGCCGAATAGTCTACAAAAGACGAGAACGGCTACTATCATTAAAATCTACTGATATAACTATATTTGCCGAATAGTCTACAAGAGACGAGAACGGCTACTATCATTGAAATCCACTGATATGACTATATCTGCCGAATAGTCTACAAAAGACGAGAACGGCTACTATCATTAAAATCTACTGATATAACTATATCTGCCGAATAGTCTACAAAAGACGAGAACGGCTACTATCATTAAAATCTACTGATATAACTATATCTGCCGAATAGTCTATAAAAGACGAGAACGGCTACTATCATTAAAATCTACTGATATAACTATATTTGCCGAATAGTCTACAAAAGACGAAAAGGACTACTATCATTAAATTCCACCGATATAACTATATCTGTCAAGTTTTCTACAAAAAAAAAAAATTATTTATTAAAATATTCGGCTGAAATAATAATCATTTTCTTGCCATTTACTCATTCTTTCATTACTGTTTAATACTAATTATTTATGATTTTAAAGATCAAAAAATATTCCTTACCTGTAAACAAATATTAATTAATTAATTAAACAAATATTAATTAATATTACCTGGACAAAATTTCTCACTTTCTTGTGCTATTGGTGTTGTCTCTTCGTTATCTTTAGCACTAATTACCATATTATCCTTTACTAAAAAGCTTCCATTTCATCATCTGCAAAATTTGCAAAATATTAATTATAAATTAATTAATTACAATTTTTTAGTACAATTAATTAGATCACAAAATATTTTGATAAATATATGGTAGATAGGCTAATTTGTTAATTTATGCATAATTAAATTAAAATATCACTTAATATATTTAAATAAGAAAAATAAAAAAGAAAAGTATAATTAAAATATTGAGTAAAACTTTTTCCTTTTCAATTATTATAAAATGAAATATAATTTTCAAAATATTATTTAATATATTTAAAAAAGAAATTTATATTTCAAAAAATATAATTAAAATATTGAGTAAAACTTTTTCCCTTTCAATTATTATAAAATGAAATATAATTTTTAAACAATAATCTTTTTATTTATGTTATCATAAATTTTTAAATTAGTTAAATTAAATTATATATATAAACAAAAATCTTTCTAATTTATTGCAATATATTATTTCATACCAAAAATAAAAAAAAAAAAAAATAAAAAGAATGAAATATAGTTTTTTTTGCTTAAAAATTAAAGAAAAATTTTTTTTTCATTTTCAATCATTTACTTAATTCTTTAAAATTTAAATCAAAAAAATTGTGCTATATTTTCATTTCTCAATGAAATTTTTTTTCATTTGATTTTTCATAATGAAAAATGTTTAATTTTATTTTCATCAATAATTTATTCATTTTCCCTCCTCGAAAAAAAAAAAAAAAAAAAAAAAAAAACTTAAAACTACAAATTTTACTTTTTAGAGAAATGTCAAACAAAAAAAAAGGTAAAACTACAAATTTTATTTTTATAGAAATGTTAAAAAAAAAGAAGAAAGAAGTAAAAAGATTAAATTATTTAAACTTAAAACATGCAGAAGATAATTGTGTGAAAATTTTGGAACTGAAATTGAAAAAAAAAAAAAAAAAAAAAAAAAAAAAAAAAAAAAAAAAGGAAACATATTAATTTGAAAAGATTAGCTTTATTAATAAAACTACAAATTTACTTAATTGCAAATGTTTCATTGAATTGATACAATGACAAAATGTTTAATTTGTATCTTACATAAAGCAATTTAGTTTCTTTAATTACAATTATTTATTTCTGTCATTGGAAAAATGCAATCTTTGAACTTATCAATGAAATTTTATTCATTAGCAATTAAATTATATAAGCAAATGAAACGAAAAAAAAAAAAAGAAATGATAATAAGAAAAAAAAAAATGCTAAAATAATTATAAATTAACTGCATTAAATTATTAAAAAATAATAATAATAGCAAAAAAAAAAAAAAAAAAAAACATTGATAGTAAATGATAACTGATAAGTGATAAGTTGCTATTTTATTATTAATTAAAAATAATAATTTGCATAATTACAAAAATCAATTATTCAAATTTAATTTATTAAAGAATTAATTTTTGAACATTTTTTTTAACTTAGCAAATTTCAACGATATATCAAATTGCTTATGATACTACGCAAATGTTACAAAATAATAATAGCAGGAATGATAAATTAACATTGATAGTAAATGATAACTGATAAGTGATAAGTTGCTATTTTATTATTAATTAAAAATAATAATTTGCATAATTTCAAAAATTAATTATTTAAATTTAATTTATTAAGGAATTAATTTTTGAACATTTTTTTTAACTTAGCAAATTTCAACGATATATCAAATTGCTTATGATACTACGCAAATGTTACAAAATAATAATAATAGCAGGGATGATAAATTAACATTGATAGTAAATGATAACTGATAAGTGATAAGTTACTATTTTATTATTAATTATAAATAATAATTTGCATAACTACAAAAATCAATTATTCAAATTTAATTTATTAAAGAATTAATTTTTGAACATTTTTTTTTAACTTTGCAAATTTTATATCAAATTGTTTATGATACTACGAAAAATGTTGTTTGTTCAGATTCTTAAATTAAAATTTAGTACTTTTTTCCTTCAAAAAAAAAAAAAAAAAAATAATAAATTTCATTTTGTTTATTATTCATACATGTTTATTATTCATACAATTAATGATTAGCGAATTTATAATCGATTCAAAATGCGCAATTATATAAAAAAAAATTTTTAATGTTTAAAATCAAACATTAAATTTTAAATAAATTTTAATTAAAAAAGATCACTGATTTTATCTTATAAAATCTAACTGAGTAGAAAAAAAAAATAGCTTAAACTTCTTGATCGATTAATTGAAAATGAAAAATCTTTAACAATCATTCAAAAATTCTATATTTCTATTAATTTAAAAAATTATTGAAAAAATTATTGAATGATATTATTATTCATTTTTAAAAAAAAAAACAATTTTTTTTTTTTTTAAAAAACACAAAAACACAAAAAAATTGGAATGAAAAAATTTTGGCATAAAAATAAAGCAAAAAAGTTTTTTTAAAAAATTTAAATTTTAAATTTGAAATAACTTTTGTTTTGTCCAAAAATTTATTTCTTCTTTTTCTTCAAGAAATCATTTAAATTTTATCAATTCATTTCAAACATTTCATTATTTGCTTTCAACAATAACAACAACAACTGCTAATCATAACAATAAAATTTTGAAAATGATTACAATTAATCAAAGTAAATTTTGGATATTTATTTTTTTTTTTTTTAATTTTCAATATTTCACTTTACACAATGGTATCATTTTGAAAAAATTTAAAAAATAAATTTGATACTGTAATGAAAAATTTCATAGATTTTTATGGACATATCATTTAGATAATTTTCAATTTAATTTATACACATTGCTTTCGAATGATATCACTCACTCAGTTTAATGACAAAATTAAAAAAAAAAAAAAAAAAAAAACAGTCATAATGGTTGGTAATAAAAACAATTATTATTTCCAACATTTCTAACAAAATTTTTTTAAAAAAAAAAAAAGAATTTATAAATGATTAGCAATTAAATTTTAAATACAACAAAATATTTGCTAATTTTTTTTTTTTTTTTTTTTTACTAAATTTTGAAAGCAAATAATATAAGTGATAGAAAAACCTTTAACATAATCAAAAATTTTTGAAATTATTAATAAAATTACAAAAAAAAAAACAGGATGAAATTTAACGGAATTGGATTGAAATGAAATATAAATAGGAATAGAATTAAATTAGGATAAAATGAATGGAACTGAGTTGAAATTTGAATAAATGAAATAAATGAGATTGAAAATTAAAAAAATGAACTGAACAAAAGTTGGGTTAAAATTAAAAAAAAAATGAAATGCACAAAAATTCGATTAAAATTAAAAAGTGAACTGAATAGAATTATGTTGAAATTAAAAATAAGCTAAGATTTGAAGCTTAAAAAACATTTTAAAAAGGTAAGGAAAAACTTTTGTTGATAATATTTAGAATGCACTAGAAATAATATATCACTTTATATGGAAAAAAGCAAGGAAATTAAAAAAAAAAAAATGAATTTTAGAATTTAATTAAGTACATAAGTAATAAGTAAGAATATGAGAGATAGAGAAATGAGGACAGGTGTTATACTAACAAAAAAAAAAAAAAAGAAAAAGAAAAATGAAGTAATTACCGGGAATAATAATATACTCAAGGAGATATAATCATTGATTCTACAATGTCAAACTAGAAATGTAAGCAATATAAAATTATAATTATTATAATTTATATATTATCAGATTTCTCTTCAATTCTGATTGCAATAACAAATAATAATAATAGCAATAGTAATAACAATAATAATAAACAATAATAACAATAACAGCAGCGATAATAATAATAGTGATATAACAATAATAAGACCAATAATAATAATAATAGTAGTAACAGCAATAATAATAGCAATAACAACAATAATAATAGTGATATAACAATAATAAGACCAATAATAATAATAATAGTAGTAACAGCAATAATAATAGCAATAACAACAATAATGATAGCAATAATGATAATAATAACAATAATAGCAAGAATAATAATAACAAGAGGATATTAATAATAGTATCAATAATAATAACAACAGTAATGATAGCATTAATACTAACAACAACAATAGCAATAATAATATTACCAATAATAATAACAATAGCAATAATAATAGTACCAATAATGATAACAATAATAGTAACAACAACAGCAATGATAATAGCAATAGTAATAATAATGACAACAATAGTGATAGCATTAATAATAACAACAATAGTAATAATAATAATAATAGTGCCAACAATAATAATAATAGCAACGATAATAATAACAACAATAATAGCAATAATAACAATAACAATAATAATGGTAATAACTACAACAGCAACAGTAATATGCATAATAAAAAAACTTAATTCGATTACATTACATCAAAACACTGTAAAAAATGAAAAAAAAAAAAAAAAAAATTATGTTAGCAAAATTGTTTGAAAGATTTAATGTGAAAAAAAAAAAAAACAATTAACAAAACTATTAATATAGTATTATTTCATTTTATTTTACAATTACAACAACAAAAAAAAAAAGAATTAAAATATTTTAAAAAATAAATTCAACAAGAAAACAACAACAGCAAAAAACAAGAAAAACAAAAATTTGAAATGTATGTAAGGAGACAAAAAATAAAATAAAATAAATACTTTCAAAGTAGTGAAATATATAAGAAATCTATTTAAGCTGAAAATATAATTATTTAGTTCTTTGATCTCTTATTATTTGTTATATCATTCGTTGTAAATTAATTTCTTAAAAATAATGCTATTCAAATAATTAAATTTCAAATAGAAAATCAATATTAGTTGATTAAGTTAACATTATCTATTACTTATATAATACTTTACTTATAATTATTGATTAAGTATTAAGTTAAAGTAAGTAAATGAATAAGCATAAAGAGTATATTTTATTATGATTACATAAATAAATCATTCTTTTGCTTATCAATCATTTATAATAAAAAATATTTTTTTTTTTTTTGGTATGTGCTATTATATC